TGCGTGTGTTTCAAGAAGTGAAATAAGAACAAGGACCTGGGAGGCTCAGTCAGTTAAGCATCGGACTCTGGGTTTCGGCTCAGGTCCTAATCTCAGGGTCGTGAGACTGAGCCCCGCATCAGGCTGCAGGCTCAGTGCAGAGTCTGCCCGAGATTCTCTCTCGCTCGCTCTCCTTCTGCCCCTCCCCCTGCTCACATTCTCTCTCTCTAAAATAAATAAATCTTTAAAAAAAAAAAGAAGTGAAATAAGAAAACTATCATGCAGCATTTCCATTGCTCTGATAGAAATGAATTACATGTGCTTTATGAATTAGGAGATATGAATTGTGTCATTTTGGTGATTGCACATCTGAGTTAAAACTCTTACAGGTTCATTTAAAACTGTCATTGTATAATAGAAAGATGAATGGTAGAATTCATGATAATAATTAATATCTTATTCATTTATTTATTTATGTTTGCTTAGGACAGCATTATATGGCAAATAAAAAAACACCATGACAAGTCAGAGAGAGACACAGAAGAAAGGTAAAAGGCTTCTATTTTAGTACCTTTAGTGGTACTTCCTTCTGCTTTTTTGAACAAGGGGTCCCATATTTTCATTTTGCGCTCGGCTTTGGAGATGACGTAGCAGGCTGCGCCCACAGGCTAACTCCTTGCTTCAGCTTCTTGTGAGCCTCCTGTTCAGTGTCATTTCTCTGACAGCTGGGAGAGTTTAAAGAGAGGGGGTGCGGAGGCAGAAAGAGGGCTACTGGGGTGGGGGGCGGCCTGAGTGGCTCAATCAGTTAAGCGTCTGTCTTCGGCTCTGGTCATGATCTCAGAGTCCTGGGATCGAGTCCCGCATCAGGCTCTCTGTTCGGCCGGAAGCCTTGCTTCTCCCTCTCCTCTCCCGCTGCCTGCCGCTCCCCCTGCTTGTGCTCACTCTCTGTCAAATAAATAAATAAATAAAATCTTAAAAAAAAAAAAAAAAAAGAGGGCTACTGAGGTATTGTCAACCAGGGTCTGACATCCCAGGGGTCCTTAATTCCCCGGGGAGAGTCCTTGGAGGCCCTGTGCGCAGCACGGGCCACTGGCTAAGAGAATGCCCTGTCCAGGGTTTGCCAGATGTCAGGTCTGAAAGGTGATTCCAACCCGAGGAAGGAAAGAGGATACTGAAGCCCCACGTGGTGCGGCTGGGCATTGCCAGCCCGGACCCAAGCCTGAGGACCAGCCTGGTGTCTTGGTTTGAATGGCAGGAGTACAGCGGAGTTGTCACTTCTCTTCCTGGGATCAAAATCAGACAAATCTCTTCTCTGGCTTACCAGGGAGTAAGTGGATCACGCCAGTGAATGTCAGTGCAAATTACAGCTCCAGCCTCCTGTCGTCAGCTTTGTGCTGCTTCTTGTCACTTTAATGCAAAGAGACAGCATGGGGCTGATAACAAGCCAGAAGGGTGGGGGATTGGAGGTGGTGGCTGCATCAGGGACAAGGAAAATGCATGTTGGAGAGACTGATTCAAGACCGTAAAAACCATAGCAATGATTTCCTTAATTGCCTGTTGGGAAGGGGGCATTTAAGGGTGTCGGGACAATGCTTCTTAGATATCCACGAAACTGAGCAGCTACCTCATCCGTTCATTCACCCACCCGTTCACCTACCCATCCATCTGTCCATCGGTCCATCCACCCATCTGCCCCACCCATCCATCTACCAACCGTCCATGCATCCACCCACCCGTCCATCTACCAACCATCCATCCTCATCTGCTAACGAGCGCTGGCCTAGGCCTCTCGCACACTGGAATTTGGAGAGACTCATGGTGCCTCCTTGGGCTGCTCGCAGCCACTCTCCAGAAGAAATCTCGCAAACTCTTGGGAGGAAACACCTTTTCTCCTAGCAAAAAAATGTGGGCTTCAAGGCCTTTTAATTTTGTCTAATTTTGTCTTTAATTTTGGGCCATCCCAAAAGTTCCAGCTCTACTCAATTAAGTTACCTTTTCTAAGCTGGTGGGTGAATGTTACTGCTTCAGAGACCCTCCGCTGAGAGCGAAGACCTCCTTCCAGCCAGCAGAAGAGGAAGTCTTGTATTTTGCAGGCCAGGATTTGAGTGTGTCTATCTGTCTTATAAGCCTTCGAGGGTCCACTCACAATAATATACAGTCTTGTTGTATCTCCACCCACTTGAGGAACTAATGCAGTCAAAAGAAGAATCCAGGCCTTCCTAGGGCTGTGCTGGTGAGTTAGTATCTGAGGAATTCGAAAAGGTACCAAGAAGGTAACGATACAAGACGCACATCTTTCTATCTTCTTAGTTGCTCAGTGACTTTGTTCATTTCTTGGCTGGTGCCCCACTCGCTCGTGGATGCTCTCCACTTTGGGACTTGGATGAAATTCCTCACTGTGGGGCATGGGTTATAGCTTCTTGGGAAGTTATGAAGGGCTGATCATCGAGGGAGCTAGTTCCCTTTGGGGCAAATAGTGACCTAGGAGATAGAAGATGGGAGCAGGGCAGATAAATTCCTCCACCTTCCTTTCTCCCATGATCACTAGATCATGACTCCTTCCTGCTTTTCTGGAGAAGCCCCATGCCAAGAGAGCCTGGTGTCCCCTCCCTACTCACGGAGGAACAGGCGATTTCACATTACATCGCATGCCTTCTTGTCTCCCTTTCTTTCTTCCCTCACCTCCATTGGCCTGGCCTTGCTCCTTCTAACTAAATTATTAGAACCTTAATCCTTTGTCAGGTTCTGCTTTCTGGAAGGCCTGGACCAAGGCAGTGAATATTTATCCAATGCCTGCTATGTGCCCACAGATGCTTGCAATATATTCGAAAGTGACTATGGAACACGAACACTCATTCAAGAGAGCAGGTCAGGAGTCCCCCAATCACCTAGAAAATCCAAAGCAGAGTGGGGGTAAAGCTGGAGTGAAAAACAGATCATGAGAAAAAGGAAAAGGGGAGTGCAGTGGGGATGGGGCAGTAGTTAGTCTCCATGAGGACCTCTCCTTGGGCTACCTGAGTATTCTCAGGACATGGTGGCTGGCATCCCCTAGAGCTAGCAATCCAAGAGACCTGAGCAGAAGCCGCCATGCCCTTTATGACTTTGCTTCAGGAGCCACACACGGCCTTCTCTATCCTAGAGCATCTACAGGGCATGGATACTGGGAGGTGCGGATCCTGGGAGAAGGAGAAGCGTTTTTGGAGACTGGACCATGACAGCATCCTGGAACTGCAGAGCTGGGGCAGTTTTCAGAGATCTCTGTTTCAGGAACCTCACGTAGTAGCTGAGAACCCAGAGGTCAGCACCATTAAGCAACTTGCTCCAGGGCTCAGTGAGTCTTCTGTTCGCACTTGATTCAGGACTCAGCCTGCAGGGAGGATTGTAGCCCAGGGTTAGCTGGCATCCCTGCGCTGACAAAGGAAGTCAGAGGCAATGCTTTAAACTAGAACTGCCAGATGAATCCAATGCCAAGCTGATTACAAGAGTTCGCTCATTCATTCCAGATCTATTTATTGAGTGCTTTCCTCAGCCTGGCGGTGTTCTGGGCACTGGCACGCCTGTGAGCAAACATGGGCTCCTGCTCTCGTGGACCTTCCAATGCAGGGGGAAAGGCAGACATGCATCGGATAGTCCCACGAACAACGGAAGTATGACAGGGATGGCAAGTGCTTTGAAGGGGAGGCTGAAGCACTGTGAGAGCACGGAATATGGAGTTTGTTCCAGCCAGGGATGCTTCTCCAAGGGAGTGGTGAATTGATTATCCCTTGACAGCCTGCAAGTGAATCCCACTGTCGAGATAATGAATGTTGTTCATGATGTGTTTCTCAAATGTTGTATTTCCCACCTCCAGGAGTTTCATCTGGGGGTTCTTTTATAGCTTCCATTTCTCTCATAGTCGACTTCGTGTTTTGCTTTAACATCCTTGAATCCACTGATAAGATTCATAATGGTTATTTTAATATCCTTGCCTGCTGGTTCCATCATCTCTGCCACTTTTGGGCCTGTTTCTTTTCTTTTTTCTTTTTTTCTCCTGTTTACAAGCCATATTCTCCTGCTGTTTTGCATGCCTGTTAATTGGATGCCAGGTAATGAAAATTTTATAGTGTTTGGTATTGGGTTTTGTTTTATTCCTTGAAAGAGTGTTGGACTTTGTTCTGGCACAGTTACCTGGAAACAGTTTGATCCTTTCAGGGATTGCTTTTGTTCGGTAGAAGCCAGACTTGAGCAACAGAAGGAATGCCCCAAGGCAGATGAAGTCTCAGGTCCAAGATGGGGGAATGATAGAGACATGAGCTGGAAGCCAGAACAGTGATAAATAAGCTACACATTGAAAGCCTGGGGGCACAGCATCCTGACCTTGTAGTTTCCAAGACCCTTGGGCCTGACTGATCAAGAGCCACAGGTGCGAAGCATGCGCTCTCCTCCTCCACCTCCACCCCAGGGCAACCTCCAACTCATTATAATGCATTGGCCTTGCAGGGACAGCCCCGCCTGATGGAGAAAGCTGCCATGATGTTTCCAGTACAAACCTCATAGTGTCAAAAACTCCCCTCCCAACCTTTGGGAGGAGTTTCCCAAATGCCTGGAAGCAGCCTCCATGAGAGACCACCTCACTCTCTGTCACAGCTCCTCCCAGCCCAGAGAGACCCAATAATATCAAATCCCAAAACAACCCATGGATCAGCTCTGCCTCCTGGAACCTGCCCATTCTCCCACCTTGAGAGTGTATTTCCACCTTAACAAACTGCTTTGTGCTTCCTACTTTCTTTCTGGCTGTCTTTCAATGAGCTCGGATTCCCCCGTAAATGTTTTCATGGGGAATCCAAGGACCAAGACCTCCATTCACACAACGCAGACTCTCTCACCAAATACTTTCAAATTTTGTGCTAAGTCCAGGGCTCATTTAGCTCTATTATTAAGGCAATACTCTTCTCTTTCTTTTTTTTAAAGATTTTATTTATTTATTTATTTGAGAGAGAGCGCGCAAGAGAGCACAAGGGTGGGGGGGAGGGAGAGAGAAGCAGGTTCGCCGCGGAGCAGGGAGCCCGATGCAGGGCTCCATCCCAGGACCCTGGGATCATGACCTGAGCCGAAGGCAGACTGAGACACCCAGGCACCTCAAGATAATACTCTTCTGAGGATGCTACCCATGTACTACAAAGTCTCTACTTCAGCTAGTGAGAATACCAGTCCTTTCTAGCCCTGTAAGCACTCCAAGAATTGTCCTGTCTGAGACTTTCACGGGGTTCTTTCCCCCACCTGGAGGAATTTCTTCATGTGCAGCCACCGATCAGAAATTAAAGACTTGAGGTTTTTATCTGACAGTCTCTAGAGTTGTCTCTATTTGTAGAGCTGCTCCGCTCTGGTACTCTGCCCTGCAAAGTTGAGCTGCCTTGACCTTGCAGAACTCAGAACTCCTGTCTCCTCACTCTTTGAGACCACCAGGTCTCATTTGGGTTTTCTCTAGGCAGTGATCTGGTACCATTGTAGGATTCACCTGTTTGTTCCCTTCTCTCAGAGATCATAGTCCTGCCTTGACTGTTGTCCAGTGTTGGAAATTATTGTTTCATATAGTTTTCTGGTTTTCTAGTTGTTTAAGGCAGGAGTATATAAGTCATCCCTGTTAGGTACACATCATGGTTCTTTTTTTAAAAGAAACAGCTTTATTGAGGCGTAATTGATATAATAAAAATACATTTAACATGTACAATGGACAAGTCTCAACATGTACGGTAAACCCATCATCACATTCAAGACAGTGAACACAGAATTTCTTCAAGTCCCCTTTCCATCCCCTCATTCCCTGCACCCTTTCCCCCAAGGCGAACACTGATCTCCTGTAAGCCACCACAGATTCGTTTGCATTTGTTAGAGTTTTATATAAATTCTTATTTATAAGAACTTACGTAAATATATTTAAAAACTTATATAAATAAGTTTTATATAAATTTTGTCTAGCTTCTTTCACTCAGCATAGTTATTTTGATTTATGCTCATTGTGGTTTGTACCACAATCTCTCCTTTTTCACGGCTAAGTAGTATTCCACTATGTTGACTATGCCACAATTTGTTTGGTTATTTTGTTTGTGCCATATTTGTTCGTTATTGATTGGCATTTGGATTGCTTTCAGGTTTTAGCTAATGCAAATAAAACTGCTATCTCACATTCATGTGAACGTTTCTGTATGGACATGTGTTTCCTTTTTTCCCGGGTAAATACCTAGCAGTGGAATGGCTGGGACATATGGTGAGTATACGTGTCATTTTTTAAGAACCTGCCAAACTGTTTTTGCAATGGTATGTGTTTCAAAGCCAGTCTTTCTTTGTTTGTAGACCCGTGTGGCGATGTGGTAAATCAATGAGACGTTCAGATGTAAATGTTCGACTTCTTTTATTCTGAAGCAATACGCATGCTCTGGCAACCGCCAGCTCGATTCGCGGTGGCCCCCACCGGCTTGGAAAGTAGACTTTCAGCACAAGGCGGGAAAGGGAGAGGGGAGAATAACAAGGGCCTTGTCTGTCAGGTGGGAGAAGAGTCTGAACCCTTGGACTTTTTGCTTTGAGGTATTTAAGCGGAAATTAAAGTGAATTTGCTCTTTTTGGATCGCTCATCTTTTTCTTGTGATTTTTGAAAAGATGAAATGTGGGAGAACTTAGGTCAGGCTGTTTTTTGACGTTTTGAGCTGTTCCCTTGATGTTTTGGCTTTGAGGCTCCCCTCTGTGAGTGAATCTAGCCTTTGCTTCCCCTCACCCTGTGGAACAATGCCAGTGAATTAGAAGGAAATTTCCAGTAGCGATAAGTAGCTTTTCTTTGATCCACACGCAAATCAAGCTTCCTGTAGCCAATAGAAGAATGGGATTCACAAATGCCCGTCCGGCTCTGAACCACTCATCTTATTTAATGGGATGGGCGGTGGTGGCGCGATCTCTAGCCACCTCCTCCCCTTTCTCAGATGCCCTGGCACAGGTGGATTCTCTTATAGGAGTTTCCTTATGACAGCCACACACACACCGGGCTGTGCTTCCGTGCTTCCAGCAAGATCTTGCACATGTTGAAATTTCTGGCAGGTAGCAATATGTTTAAGTGCAGAGACCCTTGAAAGTCAGTCACACAATGCCTGGGGGGGGTGGGAGGAATACGGCAGGAAGAGAGCGCTGATTCACACCTCCACTCAGCCTTGCCTGGCATCCTAACAATGCAGAATAAATGAGAGAGCAAACGTCCAGGGCCCTCATGTGCTGCCTCGCTCCTGGAGCAGGTGGCGCCTTCCCTGGAGACAGAAGTCACCGTTCCCTCAGGAACACCCCACCTGTGGCCCTGTGACTGGCGTAGCTCACAGTGTGGCTTGAGGAGATCTGTTACAGAACACTCATGTCCACAGTCACAGACTACCCAGGACAGCAATGTAAATGACCCCCTCATGGCCTTTCCTTTGCTGGACCTGATAAATCTGTGTGATTTTGGCTACAGCCAGAATAGGGCCTGGCTAATCATTTTTAGTCTCCCCTGTTGGTTTTAGGCTTTGTTCTTAACAATGATGCTGCTTCCTGCTGAGTTCTGTGGGGTTCTGCCTCCCACCCTCCCGTCCACAAACATGGTTTGCACTGAGCCACCCAGCCCTGCAGGCCCTGGCTAGAGACAGGGCCACTCCCCCCAGCTTAGGGCCAGGCCTCCTCACCTGGGCTCCCTGTAGACTCCCAACCACCGTAGTCAACCCAGTTGACACGGGTGAAGAGTTAGATACAGGGCACGGCTGAAAATGATGTCACGACTGATGGTAGATCGGAGAAAGGAGGGCCAAACCCCACCCCATACTCTAGTTCTCAGGCAGGTGACAGGTGGAGGACCCAAGACATCTCCTTCTTGGCTTCCATCTCCTTAGGGATGCTGGTTGTGCTGGGGAAATAAACGTTTGATTGATTTTTGTTGCCCCTAAACTGTTGGTATTGTGGCTGAATGACTGCAGTTGTCATGGCAGCAAGCACCATTTTATTATCATCTGTGGCCTTTTCTCCTCTCCAGGGAAACATCTGACATGATTCTGGCCCGTCACCCTAGTTCTGTTCCTTGTCTTGTGGTGAGGGCTGCTTCCTCCCTGCCTCCGATTGTGGGGGGTTCCTGGTGGTTGGGAGGGCCTGGCTGAGGCATGGGAAGGATGAGGGTGGGGGTGGAGTGAGAGAAGAGAGTCAGAGGAGGGACACAGTGTGTGTGCGCGCATCTGGCGTCGGGGGGGGGGGGGGGGGACATTGAAGCATGCAGACAGCCTGTCACTGGGAGGCAGAGGAGGAAGGGAAAGGGAACAAGAAGGGAGACAGGAACAGAGAGAGGTGGGGGAGGACACGCGGAGGGGAAGGGGGGCCCTTGCTTAGACACACAGCCGATCAGAGCCCCTCCCATCTGCCGGCACCCCGCTCTCTGCCGTCCACGAGCCCGTGGGTTTTGGTGTGCAGGGAAGCTTGTTTTCCTCGGTCTCTGCCCCACCGCCTCTCCCACGGGCCTCATAATAGCCAGCAGTTCGATGCTGAATGAGTAAATGCGGGAATGGACATTCGAACACTTTTTAAAAATTGTTATTAATGAATAAAGGTGCCTGACTGATGGGAATCAAAATCACTGGAGACAGATGGTCAAAGTCGCATGCCAGTTTGTGGATTTGTTCTGAGAGTGGGAGATAGGCATCGGCTATTCAGAGGGTGCCCCTTCTCGAGGGAATCCCCCCTTCCGGCACCTGCCCTCGGGCCACCCCTTTCTGTGCTGACCAGGATGGAAGCAAAGCAGGCACCATTGGCCGGGGTAGGGGGCCATCTTCCCTGCAGTCTTCGGCTCTGAGCACCCCATCCGGAGACGCTTTAGGCTCCTGCCCTACAGGAGGGGAAACAGGACTCTGAGGAAGACGCTTTGTACCTGCTCAGGGCCGCCCCTGGCTCCCCTGCCTCCGCTTGGGAGTGTGCATGTATGTGAACACACCCAGAGCCCTGGTGATCCCTGCTGAAGTCAGAGGCAGGTGGCTGAATCCGCGGTTTCTACGCAGCAGAGCAGGTTTCCAAGCCCCTTGGAGGGAGGCGGGGGTGGCGGAGCCCTGTGTTCTCTGGTGCCGACGCTGGGCCAGGGCGATGGGCCCCGGACCCCCTACTCGAGGAGTGAACATGGCAGGGCGGCTGCCGTGGGGGCACTCACACTGAAGCTGCCCTGGTGAGGACTGGGCCATCAGGCAGCCTCCTGACACCTGTTCCACGACAGGGCCCCTCCCAGATGCTGTGCAGGGGGCAAAGTCGGCCGGGGGAAGGGACAGGGGCCCGGGGATCAGGCGTCGCTGGGACTGTGGGGGACAGCCCAGGGCTCCAGGAGCCAAGGCTCGTTGGCACCTGTGTGCGAGGGAGGGAAGGACGCAGGCCGCAAACCCCTTCAGGCCACACTGAATGGGGGACCCACAGCTGTCAGACACCCTAGCGCAGCGGAGGGGGGTCTTCATGGCCTGGTGTGTAGGTCAGGGTTCAAAATGTGCCTCTGGGACTCTGAGATTCTTCAGCTGTGTCCCAGGGGCTGCCAAAGGAGTCGAGGGCACCTGAGGGCAGCCCCATTTTATCCATGTGACATGCCAGGGGCCCCAACAGGACCAGGGGGTCCCCTCAAAATGGTGCAGTGAAGAACAATTTAAGGAAAGGACACATCGGTGGGGGAAGGGGGGGTTGCAGGGTTAGGGAACCACCCTTAGGGAGGGTGAGGCCCCCAGAGTGGGAAGCAGGCAGCCTCTGGGGGGATGAGAGCAGGAATTGGTGTAGCAGAGCCTGGGGGTGCTGGAGCCTTAGAGGAGGGCTGGAGCTGCAGAACACAACCACCAGGAAGCCAGCCAGCGTGGCACCAATGCATGATGTCAACAAAGCCAGCCCCTTGGGCACTGAGCAAGATGGGGGGAGGGGGAGCGGAGCAGGAAGAGCTCAATATGAGGGGTAAAGGGAGAACAAGCAGCGTTTGGAGCATCCACGGAGCCAAGAGTCTGATAATAAAGAGAAAAAACCAAACTTGAAAGGCCCTTACACTAACCACGAATCTGGGTCCAACTCCTGACTCTGTCACTCACTTGGTGATCTTGGCCAAGTCCCAACCCTCTCTGATCCTGCAGCCCTCACTGCACCGAGGGATGGCAAGGACTTCCTTGCTAATCCACAGTTGTTGTAGGGTGGCATCAGGTAATGACTATGACTGCATTAGGTAGGGCATAAAGTTGCGTCACGATTGTCCCCATTATGGTCCCAGAGCACCTCCTGGAGTGGAGATCCTGACTGTTCTAGGCACAGGCCCTCTGACATGCTCCTTGGAGGGGGGTGACGACAAGGAGAGGACAAAATGAGAAAGGAGAGGGGAGGATGCCTCTGTTCTTGCATCCTGGAAATGCTTCCAGTTGTGAGGCTGAACCTTGTCAATTCCTTCTGCTATGATCAGAGCTCTGTGTGACCTCATGCCCCAGCCCAGCCCTGGGAAGAGGAAAAGGATTACAGTGATAAATCCCAGCTTCTGTCCAGCGCTGGCGGCTGCCAGTCTATGGGAACAAATGGAGCAAACAGGAAAACTGATCTATGCTGACTAAACTCATAGAGGACTGATGGATAAACCCAAATGCTACTTATTTGTGTGCATTCTTCAAGTTCTTTGATATCTGAAAACCTGCGCCAGTGAGAAAAGATTAGAGTTTCTATATGACTCAGCAGGTAACATTGTCTATAAAAGAAAAGGATCCATTAAGCCTTGTTCCCAAGTAAGGCAGGAAATGGGGCAGGGAACGAGTGTGTTGTTCTTTGCACTTAGTAATTCTAGCTTTTTGACTCAAACAAGGGAAATTGTTTAGAGGGGGAAAATAAATTTGCCCTAAATGCCAACCCTTATACTTTCCTTGTAGATGTAACACAGATATTAGCCCCACACCCCCGGACCTCTTTCCACCTCATGGAGATCCAGGTAGAGTTGACTTGAGCCATCAGATTTGTGGTCTTTAGGAACCTAAAGCTCTCCCCAAGACTTTTGTATGCCCTTATAGGGCTCATGTGCTTGTGTCCCCTTGTGTCCCCTACTGCCCCGCCCCACCCTGGCTCCCGCTTGCGTGTGTGTGTGTGTGTGTGTGTGTGTGTGTGTGTGTGTGGCCCTTCTTCTGGGCTCTTACCTGCACAGTTTCTGTCAAGTACATCACGAATCCTTCTGCTATGAAATGTTTATGAGCAGAGCAGAATTCACGTCAGGAGTGAAAGGGCTGGGAGGGGAGACAAGAGCACATTCAGTCACAGCAACACAACCTCAAACCAACAGAAGAGCGTCTCTGATCCTTGAGCCTCTGGCCGCCCCACACTGACCTCCCCCAGTCCCGCCCACCCCCTCCACCTTCCCCTCCCCCCCTTTCCTTTATCCTCTCTCAGACTCTCCTGGGAGCTGAAAAATAGTTCTCACGTTGTTTTGTATGGCAGAGTAGCTTCCCCTCAAGACCTGGCACTCTACCCCAAACATTTATTAAGGTCTTTTCTCCCTCCCTGAGAGGCACTCTCATACTGCTGAGATAAGAGAGGCGTTGCATCTCCTTTCCTAGACAGACCCCTACTGCCGTTCTTCACCTCCGTTTGCTCTAAGCACTCCAAGGGCTTAGCTGTCATTAGCTGTCATCAGCCCAGACGCTGCTGCCCTCAGGAAAGCCTTCTGACTAACTCCTTGTTCCTTCCTGGCTGTTTGTGGGAGAAGCCAGCTGCGGGATCTTGGCCAAAGTGCTGAACCCCCCACCCCAGCCTCCCTGGGGAAGGGAATGACAGGTAACATAGGAAGCTGTTGCAAGGATACAGGAACAGGATTCACGTGAAAATGCTCTGTCAGCCACAGAGCTCCGTGAACCTTACGATGGTTTACTCAAGGGCCACGCTAGCCAGGATACCAAGCAAGGTGGCCATTGGTTGAGTGTGTGACTTCCTTTCTCGATGACAGCAGGTTTACTGATGCACCAGCCTTTCTCGGGTATAGTCAGAAGCTGTTCAGCTGGTATGAACAAAGAACACCTGATGGGTAGAGAGCTAGCAGTCCTGCCAGACATGGAGCATCTTAGACTAGGGAGAGTCTCTGAGAGATTTAGAAATGCCCAGACGTCTACAAACAATCTTCACCTCTGGACGTCTTATAACTTATAGCAAGCACCAGGTTTTTTAAAGTTTTTTATTCAAATTCAGTTAGCCAACATATACTACATCATTAGTTCCAGAGGTAGAGTTCAATAATTCATCAGTTGCATATAACACCCAGTGCTCATCACATCATGTGCCCTCCTCCATGTCCATCACCCAGTGACCACCTCTCCTCCAACTCACCTCCCCTCCAGCAACCCTCAGTTTGTTTCCCAGAGTCAAGAGTCTCTCATGGTTTTTCTCCCTCTCTGATGACTTCCCCTTCAGTTTTCTCTCCCTTCCCCTCTGTGCTGTCCTCTGTGCTGTTTCTTGTATTCCACATATGAATGAAACCATATGATAATTGTCTTTCTCTGATTGACTTATTTCACTCAGTATAATCCCCTCCAGTTCCATCCACGTCGATGTAAATGGTAAATATTCATCCTTTCTGATGGCTAAGTAATATTCCATTGTATATATGAACCACATCTTCTTTATCCATTCATCTGTCAAGGGACATCTGGGCTTTTTCCACAGTTTGATTATTGTGGACATTGCTGCTATGCACATTGGGATGCAGGTGCCCCTTTGGATAATTACATTTGTATCTTTGGGGTAAATACCTAGTAGTGCAATTGCTGGGTCGTAGGATAGCTCTATTTTTAACCAACAGTGTAAGAGGGTTCCCCTTTCTCCACATCCCCTCACCAACATTTGTTGTTTCCTATCTTGTTAATTTTAATCTTTCTGAGTGATGTAAGTTGGTATCTCACTGTGGTTTTGATTTGTATTTCCCTGATAGCAAGCACCGTTAAAAAAAAAAAAATTACTCCTCTACTTTTACTTCATTACAGAAACAATATATTGTAGATTAGTTAGAAATAATGTTTAGATAAAAACAGAGAGAGAGAAAGAATGTCATCTGCAGCTCCCTGCCCCCCCCAAAGGGAAAACCACTATAACATTTTAGTGTAAATACAGCCTGATTTTTCCTGTGTGTGCTTGGTGTGAATTTCTCCATGACACTTTTGTGCACAGTAGGTCATACTTCTTTTATTTTTCCAAATTCAATTAAAACTATCAGTCACCCAACTTTTGATCCATTCACTCATTCAACAGCTATTTATTGAACACTTATTATGTGCCAAGCACCCTTCTGGGTGCTGGGGAAACAGCAGTGATAGAGAACAAAAAGCTCTGCCATTGCCCAAAGGACATTCTGGTCAGGGAAGACAGACAAGAAACAAATGAATAAGAAAAATAGTATGACAGCTGGGGATAAGTGCAATGGAAATACCACAGCAGGGGAAGGGCTTTGGGAGTGTCAGGCAGGCTGAAATTTTCAGTGGGGTGATCAGAGAAAGCCCGAAAGCAACAACCTGAAGGACTGAGCCATCTGGAGAGGATGGGGAAGAGTGTTCCAGAAGCAGAAACAGCATGTACAAAAGCCCTGAGGCAGAAGGGTACCTGGCATGACTTAGGGACAGAGGAGGTCAGTGTGCCTGGAAGAGAGAGTGTGTCAGTGTGAATAGGATGTGGGAGGCGAGATAGGGAGGTCATGGAGCCGGACTGGGTGGGGCCTTGGGGCCAGTGAAGGGATCGGGCCGTTCTCTGAGTGAGATGGGACACTACTGGAAGATTCGAGCAGAGCAGTTGGGCAAAAAAGGTTTAACATTGACAACAAACTGCAGACGGGCAAAAGTAGGAGCAGGGGACCTGTCTTGAGGCTATTACAACAATCCAAGTGAGAGACAATAGTTAAATAACCAGGAGGATATCGGAGGTGGTGGCTTGATGTATTTGAAGGTAGAACTGAAGGGGTTTCCTAGTGGAACCGTGAGATGGGAGAGAAGGTCAAAGTGACTCCAAGATTGCCCCGAGACAGCCAGAGAATGGAGAGATGGGGAGGCTGCGGGAGGACTGGTTGGGGAGATGGGTCAGAAGCTGGTTTTAAAATGTTAAGTTGGAGATAATAATACCCACATGGGATGTCAAGGAGGCCAGCCTGGGGTTTTGGGGAGAGACTGGGGCTAGAGACATAAATTTGAGTTTCAAAAGCAAAATGTTAGTATTTAAAGCCATAGGGTCATTAAGGAAGTCCCTGTAGACAAAGGCAAGTTTAGGAGCAGGCCTTAGATTAGCAGGAAGAGCCTCACCTCCCTCCTGGGGCACCCCAGATCCCTGCACGGCCCAGGAACAGATGCTGGGTTTACACAGAAACGGTCTGCAGTGACCCCTAATATTCCACTACAGCTACTTCTCCACTTGTCTTTAGTGCCCACACCACGTCATGGGGAACACTGCACCGCTGTGGCCACAGAGACGGGGCTGAGCAAGGCCTCGTGATGACCTCACTCCTTGCCCAAGGGCAGACAGTGACCCTAATCCCTCCATACCACGCCATCAAGGCCACCCTAAACTTAGGGTCCCTCAGTCCCACACACAGCCCGCCCCACATGGGTCCCTATGCTCTTGGAGCTTATAGTCCAAATCCTTCTGATGTCCAGTCCCAGCTGCCTTTCCCTCCAGGGATAAGCCCCCAGCAATCAGACAGCTTAGCTTCTCAATCCTTGAACGAAAGGAGTTGGTTCCACTGTCTCGCTTCCAAAAGTGGACCCAGAATGTTGAGATGTTTGAGTGGGCCCCGCGAATAACATCCCCTTTCTCATGTCCTCACTTGAGTCCCAAACCCACTGAGAAATTAAACAAAGGAATGGTAAGGCAGATGGAGACCAGAAGGTCACTTGTCCCGATAAAGCTGATGTTGGACAAAGAGACTACATGTCCTTCCACACTCTGAATCCCAGAATTAGGCATCTAACTCACCTTGTCCTGGCAAAGCTGGACCAAGATGCCTATCCTGTGAGATCTACAACATAGGGAAGTAGAGAGACCCAAGAGGGTTTGGGCTATTCCTGTCCAATTTCTCCTTCCAAACTCTTGATCAGATTAAGCCCCTCCCTCCAGGGAGGGTGACAAGGATGGGGAGTTGGAGGGATGGAGAGAATCCTGTCATAGCAGGGCCACTGCCTCCACGTGGATGGAAGCATCTTAGGCCTGAGCTATCACCACTCCCAACCCCCCACCAACACACACCTTCTGAAAGGCCCCTTTAGATCCCTTGGAAGTGATGACTCACTCTTCCAGGGATGAACAAGGGGGCCCCGGCACAGGCCTTGTCAAGATAATGAAAAACCAAACACTGGGGTCCTGTGTAGACTTCCATATGCAGAGAGGTGTGTGTGTGTGTGCGCACGCACATACACGTGTGCACAAATGGGATCCGAATGTACATATGATCACAGCGTATTTCATAATTCCTTTCCCTTAATAATGTATCAAGGCTCCTCTTCCAGTAAAGACACTTTTACAGAATCATTGTGATGACCAAATACCACTCCATTGTGTAATACACTCCTCTTTTGGTAACCAGCCCCCTCTTCTTGCTCATCTGGCTCGTTTCCAATCCTTTGCTACTATTTTTTTTTTTTAAGATTTTATTTATTTATTTTGACAGAGAGAGACAGCGAGAGAGGGAACACAAGCAGTGGGAGTGGGAGAGGGAGAAGCAGGCTCCCCGCGGAGCAGGGAGCCCGATGCGGGGCTCGATCCCAGGACCCTGGGACCATGACCTGAGCCGAAGGCAGCCGCTTAGCCGACTGAGCTACCCAGGCGCCCGGAGTGGGGTGGCTCTTTGCGACTATTAAAAACAAGTAAAAAGTAAAAAACAAAACCAAAACCAAACCAAACAATCATCCGAACCCTCTTGTAGCTAAATTGTTTCATGTGCTTGATTATGTCCTTAAGCTAAATCTCTGCATTTGGAATTGCTGGGTTAAAAGGTAGGCATGTTTTTAACACTTTGGTTGTATTTTGCAAAACCATGCAGCAGGTACTGCCGACAGTGTGCGAAGGACAAAAAGCAGGCTGCGGGCTGTAAGCCCCTGCACTGCCTTTCCTGCGTGCCCTGTGGAGCCTTGCATGGCGCGGCCGTGACAGAACTTCAGCTCCTGCACGCGGGCCGATGGGAACGAATGGGAAGGGATGTTAGGTCTGGGCCTTCTGTATGTGACAAAGGCAAATGCATTTTCAAGGGGTTGCAGGGGCC